ACAGTAGATATCTTATAGATATCTAATAGACATCCAATGGATATAACTTCCAGATATCTTATGGATATACTATAGATATTTGAAAACCCTACTACTTTTTTATATTGAAATGTTCAAAATAAAACAAGATCATATCAACTGAGTGAACTTTTCCATACTACATTCTGCTTTTGTTGATACAAAATGACATAGGAGAATATTGAAAGATTTTTCAAGATGTTGAAATGAATAATGATTATTTATTCATAAAATTGTGCATTTGTAGGTACATCAGATTTATATAATTATTATAATATACAATATGAATACATAATTCACAAAAAGAATTTAATTCGACCTTCAACTTTTTTTTCTTTCTGTAAGAGAAAATAATGTTAAGTTTGGAGATCAACGCAGTATATAGGTACAGGGTTGTTTAGCCTCGATGAGGCCTATTTTCGACCTTTATTAGAGGTTATACAGAGTGCAGAGTGACTATAAATCCATTCTTCAAATGGAACACCCAGTTTGTTTGAATACTTCACAAACGATAAGATTTACACAAAATGAATTTTGTGGAAATCTCATATCGTTTGTGGAGTTTTTTTTGCTATGGATTTCCATCAAGTAACGGCCGAGTCAATTAAAAAAAAAACACCCAGTTTATGTTTTTGTGGTGGCGTATATACGATATAGGGAGGTACCTATTATAGATGTATCATCCAAAGATCTAATAAAGAGTAATATGATCTATTGACTGATACACGTACGTCTTTGATTTGTAAATATATATATTCGAAATATGGACTGCATGTAAAAAACTATTTGAAATTAAAGTGAAAATAAACGCACGAGATAACTGTTGAGACTGAGAATGTTTTCGCCGTTATTCACTCGAGGGTATATAGGTCGTACCTCTGCTACTCCTTTATTTTACCCTCTCGACCTATGACCTTCGAACAACAACTGACGATATGTTACACATGTTGATAGTTGGCGTGAACAAAGAGTATGAATCGAATATATCATTTATAATATCGTTGGTCTCATCATATAAAAACTTATACAAGTTTCATCGCCTCAACTACCTTGGATGTTTGACCATTTCAGAGCTAATAACCAACCGAACCAATAATAAGCAGTCCATCACCAACACAAAACAAAATAGTCCTTCATGCACAGTATTCTATTGAATAGTAAATTCATATCAATGTTTTCACCCTCTACACCACAATCAATATTATATAATAACAAAAAAAAGAAAAATATTCAAACTATATACCAATATATACATACCTGTTCGAAATAGAACAATAAATGATCGAATTCAGTTCTACAACCTCTTGCACACAGCACCAAAACCAAAACAGAGGAACAGAGAAAACAAAAGTTAAACTAATACAACGGTCAGCTCGAAATACTGAATAGCGTCTCCTATTTATAGTTTCAATCGGTCTTGTTCTTGTTCATCTATCTGTCTCACTCAACCTAGGCATTTTCGAGTGTCCCGAGTCGATCCGATCTTCCCGATCGTCTCGTCGGATACCTCCGTACATCGTAGTTTGTCCGTGCTTAGCAAGTTAGCAACTTCATAATCATTATTCACGATTCGGTAGAATTTTTGGCTTTTCGTATTCTTATTTCTTTTCAATTTCGACTGGGTACTAAGATATTTAATGAATATCCACTGTATATCCAATGGATATTGATTAGATATCCAGTGGTTATCCTGTCAATATCCACTGGATATCTAATGGATGTTGTCTGGATATCCACTGGATATCTAGTGGATATATCAATTGAATATTCAATTATATCAATCCATCAAAAATACTTATTGCAATTCCCAGCCTAAGTATTTTATTCATGATATTTGATAATATTCTATCATAATGATACAATATCGGTTTTTTATCGAATATCCATGAATTATATCCATTGTATATCCATTAGATATCTTTCATGGATATGGACGTTCAGTGGATATAGGGCTATCCAATGGATATCTAATAGATATTGTGTGCTGTCTGGGCAAGAATCTCTGATATATCTTTCCACAGTAAGAATTTAAAAATACTTCATAACTTATTTGTTGATAATTCCTATCCTTCTAATCTAATTAAAAAAATATTATACAGTTCTCCTAGACCAGATCTTGTCATTGAAAACTCAATGAACATAGAACAGAATACAGTGGTTTCTAATACTGAACCAATCAGAATAATTTATGCTTCAATTCCTTATTTCAGTGAACTAATAACTCCCAAGTTAACCAGAATCTTCAAACTCAACAATAACATTAAACTAGCTAACAAAACCGTGTTAACAATTAAATCAATTTATTCAAAAGTGAAAGATAAAATTCCTGCAAAGGCACAAACCAATGTGATCTACAGTATCCCCTGTCAGGAGTGTGACAAAATCTATATAGGCCAATCAAAAAGATCCCTGGCCAACAGAATCACCTCCCACAGGGGCGACTCTAGATCACATCCAGAAAGATGTGCTCTTGCAGATCATGTCAACAAAATGAATCATCGTATAGACTATGACTCAGCAAGAATTTTAGCAATTGAAAGTAACCTCACTAAAAGATCCTTCCTAGAAATGGCATTCATCTCACAAAATCCCAATTGCATTAATAAAAGAACTGATATTCAACATTTAAGTGAAATATACTCATTTCTCTTAGCTTTAGACAAACAATCTCGAGTTCCTCATAGCATTTTGAACATCAACAATTCCGAATAATAACATACAGTCTTTTCTTAAAATTCCTCACATCAAACCTTTTCCAGTTAAACCTGTTGTATTTCATGGTCTGCCAACTATGTAATTAATATGTTCCCCCTTTTTCTGTTCCATTGGGTTGAGATTTGGAGGATTACTAACATTAGTATGTACCATAAGGGTTAAGAATTCTGACTTACGACCTACTCATGTCAACCTAAGAAAGAGAAGAAGAAGAAACATTTTAACCTATATTCTGCAGATTCGTTAAAATCGTTTCAACCACGTTGGATTTGAAAATTCAAACTTATTCATGAGGTAATAAGTAGCCTCTTATCTAATCATGATTATAACTAAATAATTTCTTTTAACTTGTTTTTCGTCTCATCAGTATGTTAATGTTAACAATTTTACAAATTTTACAACAGAGTAACCATTCTCAATAAGTGTAAGTGACAAAGTTTTTTCAATATTGTGAATTAATTTTAATACTTCCAATTTTTGTAGTCTACCCTGATGATGGAAATATACATTTCCGAAAGCTCGGACAAACTTGAATGAGTACACATTTACTTTTGCTGCATCCCCACTAAACTACTAGTTTTATCTCTAACTGGTCAGCAAAGACTTCCCTTCCTTATATATATATATATATATATATATATATATATATACACTCAGGAAGTCGCGGTGTCAATCTTTTTCAAGTCAGGATTTATTATCTTTCGCATTGATTTGGGTGCAGGACCATTTATCATATTAGTATATAGTAGTTCATTATTATATTCTATACTTGATCGAAATTTAGGTTGGGTAATATTCCATACGTCATATGCCACTTGCGATTATGAGTAGCACAAGATCGCATGAAACAGTAAAAGTGTTGATACCGTCATATATTATGTCAGCAGTTACAGCGGCAGCCTTTACAATTATACGGGCGCGCGGATCCCTAGCCACACTCCGACGATAGAGAGACTCGCGGAGTACACGTTTCCTGCTCGGAGGTACTCGACATACTGATTGTTTTCACCCTTGGTCTGTACTCATTTGACCATTTACTCATCCCCCCCTTCCTTACGAATGATATGGCAGTTGTATTTTTTTTCTCTCATTGATTCATGGTGAAAAATTTCGAATTGATTCGCAAGCGTGGATCGCGAACATTATTCCATCCCCCTTTTTCCTGCCTCCTAGTAGGCAACAAGTGTAAGGGTAACGAAGTTTATCAGATGTATCAAGAGCAGAAAGTTCCTGCATTCTCATTGCTCCCAGCGGAGCTATCTGGGAATAATTTTGACATAAGCTGATCTACCACAACCTTGTGGCGTACTCAACGTCGTTCGGGGTTTTAATTTGGGAAAATATACGGAAAGCAAGTTTCAATGGACTCGCACAGCTTGCAAGAACATAGAATATGATATCTGGAAAAATTAATAGCCATAATATACCTAGATGAGACATGGTATGGCACCCATAACACATGAAGTAGGGGATAGACTTATAAATCAAAAAGATGTTACACTAGAGCTCTGCCAATGAAGGTAAAAGAATTACAATTCTACCTTCAGGGTCAGAAGACGGCTAAGTACCTACCAAACTGTTTATTTTGTGCAGCCAAAAACATTTCGAATTTAGGCTGAGATTACCACTGCAATACAATTGCTGAAGTTCATGAAAAATGTTTTCAGGAATTATTACCGAATGAACCACCAGAGAGTAGTATTGTGATGGATAATTCATGTTTACATATTCACCAGTTGAATAAAGTGCAGAGTTCCACCAGCAGAAAGAAGGTAATACAAGACTTCTTGTCTGAACGTGACATATATCTTCATGGGTGTTTGATTGTTTAATAATTGTTTCGAGGTTTCGAAATGTTACAATATCAAAAAAATTAATTGATTGCGATACTGGGTGATGAAAAATCAAGTACTTAGTATTGGGGAACGGAATTGGGCATTCAAGTAGAATTCAAAAAAAAAATACTGTATATTTATCATTAACGAATTATCAGGGTAGATAGCAAATCCGGTGTCGTAGGCAATTGAAAAGAGGAGTTTCGAAAAGGAGGTCACTTCTGTTATCGATCACTTGAGTGATAACACAAACATGCAATGTGTTTCATGAAGCTAATTCTCAATAACCATTCCATTAAGTGAATCAAAATTCTATTCATATCTCAGTGATTTCTTCATTTATTGAAATAATAGAGAGAGAATAATTACATTACGAGAGCTCAATGTTACTCATGAACTTGGAGAGAATATTTGAATAGCATGTCAAACAGTTTAGAATACAAAATATGGTGATCTGAGACGGCTCAGTAAAACTCCTTTCACACTCTCGTAATTTCTTGGATTAGAAGACACACTGGATGTTTCGTCTATATCAAAATATTTTATATCGTTCGTGTCAACTGTAGGCCATTTGATATTCTGCAGGGTGGTAACATTTTCAGGTGTTGGATTCCTACAAATAAAAAGAAATGCGTATGTTAATGATACTTTGATGACATATAGAGGCAAGAGACATGACAGTAAACACTAGAAGTGAATCAATCAAGAATTCGAATTGATACTATTCTCGGAGTATATCTATTATTGAGTGTTTCAAGTAAATTGTAGCCCCGTTGAGATTTCAATAGGATCACTGCAAAATAATTCGAAAAGTTCGTAATGGCATCCGTATTCTATGTGTATTCAATGTAATGTTAGTATGAACTATTCTGGTTATGCCTTGAATGCATGTCATTGACGCTCGTGGAATTGTATAATGACATCGACTTCATTCCATGAACTTCATTTGACTATTCAGGCAGTTTGACAGAAGTAGTAGGATCACAATATTGTATAATACATTCAATACAGCAGAAATGTAATGATCACGTTACTTCCTCACCAGATTCACTAATCTACATATTATGATGTTTAATTACATATTCATCTGAACCCCAACTATAGATTGGTATTTATTGAAAAAACAATCACAATAACAGTGGTCTGATGCTAATTTCAACAATCGAACAGTGGATAACAAGCAAAAATCATCGAATTCGACCAAAGATATGAACCACCCAGTTTGGTCGTATATTGAGGAAACTTGTTTGAGGAACAAATAAAATTCCACGTCGATACTTGCAAGACAGGATTGAATATCACTTCAAGTAGCCTCTAGCTGATACTCAACCGTTTAGTAGATGGATCATGAGATCTTCAGCAAGAAACTTGAAAATTCGTTTGGTTGAATCGGAGGAAATTCAGAACACTTACAGAAAAAAAAGTTCATGCGATGTGTCGATCTCCCGAAAAATAAGCTCACAACGTTTCTTCGAAATATTGAAAGAAGCTTTGATATATTTGTGGAAAACGAATGTGAATTTGTATTTCAAGTACCTACTTTTGGATACGATATGAAAATTTTAACTAAGCAAGTCAACTTATTCTGCAGTAATCTACCTATCTTAGCAACGGAGCCACCTCTTCTGGAAACATCTTTTGTAATCTACACACTGTTGAAATATTTTTTCTGAAATTCCTCACTTTTCCACAAGGAATTTTGAACAATACATACTCATATTTTTGTCATTTTTGATGAAATCAAATAGAAATTCCTGTATCACCAATTGTTCAAAGTTCGAAAAACATCTGACAAGTCAATCGAACAACTCTAGTTGATGCACACATGCGTCACAAATTCTACATATCATTATGCCATATCTCACAGGGATATTCATTATGAATTGTTTGAATAGGGGTTCGCCGAACGAATAGACAATGAAGAAAACAAATCTAGTATTTGACTGTGGAGTGAAATGTCCTGTTCAGCGACACTTTTAAGTCAAACATATCAGGGCGAATGGAAGAAAGTTCAGCCCATATCTTCGTAGTAGTTCGACGTATATCTATCGATTACAATATTGTTGAATCCGCGGTGAAAATTATGAACAAAAATAAAAGACAGAACTAAAAATAATTTGGTGCGACCTGCAGACTCAACCTGCTCTGTTCAGCGATAAATTTTCATGAACAAAAAACGTCATTTCTGGAATGTTCAACAGTATTATCGTAAAGCGCAGCAAGGATCTAGATGGTTGAATATTCAGTAAATGTATTACACTTTTGGAAGTTACAAGGAGTGAAGTTTCATGCAAAGACGAGTTATACACATTTATCTGAGATTCAATATACTATATAATAAAAATTTCATTAGAGAACGAAATTCTGTAATTCTTTCGGAATATTTGGAGATGTGTTATTCCTCAAATCAGGAAAAACTGGTTCATCTATCAGAAATTCAAGAAATGAAAGGGTTATATTGCAGTCATTCGATTTATCAACTCGTTACAGGGCGTCGTTGAAAGTTCATCATTCAAAAACTATAAGCAATTCATGAAATTGCGATTATTCCCAATTCCTATAAAATTTCACTGTTCATTGAAAGAACTCATGACATTTAACTCAACTGGATTGGAATTATTCTAGGTTTCTGTGTGAGAAATCAGTATCTGCAAAAAAAATTCAGTTCATGATCTGTGATATTGAGAATTATGAATGAAAACTCATGCATGCATGAAAGCTCTTCTTGTCAGTCGAATTCATCGATCACGGTTATTTCAAGCAATGTCGAAGATGAAATGGTTTTTTATTTGAATTGATCAGGAAGCTTGATGAATTAGAAACAATCCTGATTTTATCGGTAACGAGCTTGGGAAGAAAATATGTGAACAAGAAGTATACCTACCACAACACCTTGAAGTGTGACAGTGACTAAGATGTCGGAAATGCGAGAATTGAGGTTTTTGATACATGATATTATATAGTGATTATGTATCTGAATTTGGAGAAATCAACAATTTCTGGAATTTTGTGAGAACTTGATGCTTATTTTTGAACTTCACATACTGGGAACTAAGCAGGTTGAGGCCCCTCTGTTATCATACAATTCCATTATCAGATCACATAAGCTATCAAATCTGTGAACATCCCATGGTGATTCAAATTCCTGACTAGAAAGAAAAATGAATGTCACATATATCTTTCCAATATTATGTTATTTCGAATCGCGTAAAATGGTAATGAGGATGTGAATAATTGATAATATAATCCCTACACTATCAACCAGGTGAGATCTATGATACCTCATAATTAGAAAGAGAAGAAATGGAAATAATTTTTGTCAGATCTGTACATGGAATGATGTAATCATAAATGTTTTTACTTAAGAATTTCCAACATAACTTTTTCAATAATAAGTTCAATTCATGAGATATCATCAAGAACATATATATCACGAAATTCTCACGAACGAAAAAACATTATATCTCTGATAAAAACCGTTGAGAGAATCAACTACACACAATTCTGTATTGGAATACACTCCAGTTGCTGATAATCTTGGCTGGGCATTGGCCCAATCTTCCATATAAAGGCAATATGGATCCTTATTGTAATTTGTTCATTGTGTGCATGAAAATAAACGAATAAATAAATATCCTGCCAAGATTCGTGTTACTGGGGTATGCAAAACTGATAATGCAAATGTTCAAGTTATCAGCTAGAGAAAAATACAGTAAGTTGTATATCTTCATGAAACAGGTAAGATTTTTCAGACCACAGAGCTGCTTACTGCACTGTCACTATCTTGGTAGGTGACTCAAAACGGAATACGTGTCAGAATATCACAGAATGAAGTATTTCAGACAGTTAATTATTCCAGTTTTTGTTGGGATTTCCCCTCTCCGTCTCTATGAAATAAAAATATAGATACTATTTCAATATACATGTAGTGAGGACAAAGCGGATGATTTGCTCTAAAATGTCACAGCGATTAGAGAATTCTCTTATCGGAGAGCCTGAAAGAAACATTAACTAGCTTGTCAGTGTAAAGGTACACAGGGTGAATCGTTAGTGTGCCAAAGTGAGATAACGGCTTTACTGTTTGGGATAGATGAACAAAAATTTCAGAGATGATCTTGGATCATACGCCGCACATTTCCAAATTATTTCGCTTTTTACAGAAATGCGTGACGTATCAAAGTTATACTTTTACTTATGGGACACCCTGTATTTCATTGCATTTTCGCATTCTCCTTTGTGAACTGATTTCATCAATGAATCATCATACTTGGGGTCTAGCGGATATGATTACAGAGATATAGGGCGTTCAAAATCAAGATTTTTCAACTTAAGGATTTTTTTGAGTCGAAACAATTTATTGTTGGTCAAAACGGCTGACATGTCCCTATTCAAACTTTTTATTTTTTATGAATTGACATTTAATTGAAACAGATACAAGGGTAATCAGAATGCTGAATCTTGAACCACCCTGTATTTGTTCCAATTAAATGTCACTAGATAGTAAATCTGAAGATGAAACAGGGACATGAAAGCCGTTTTGACCAATAATGGATAGTTTCGACGCAAAAAAATCCTAAAGTTGAAAAATCTCGATTTTTGAACACCCTATATTTCTGTAATCATTCACGCTAGACCCCAAGTGTGATGCATTGATGGTATCAGGTCACAAATGAGAATGCAAAAATGCAATGAAATACAGGGTGTCCCATAAGAAAAAGTGTAACTTTGATACGTCACGAATTTCTGAGTCACCCTGTATATAGCGAAATAATTTAGAAATGTGCTGCTCATGGTCCTAGATCATCTATGAAATGTTTGTTTATCTATCTCAAACAGTAAAGCCGTTATCTCACCTTGCCACACTAATGACTCACCCTGTATAAAATAAAATATCGAATTTGCACTTATTTTTAGACGTTTCGAAAACGGATCTGTTTCCGTTTTCAACATGAAAAATGGATTTTTACAACGAGCGTGCGCAATGTAGTACTTTTCCGCACCCATTTGCGTGCGCAAAGTGAAACTTTTTCGCACTCAGTGCGGATATGGGTGTTATTCGCACGGCGTGTATATTAGTGGAACAAAAAAAAAATGTATTTTGAAATTATTTTATTCTCGTTGATCTGATATAAAGCTCGTAGAAAAAACGTTGTTCCTAGCACGTGCGCAAAGTTTTTTTTTTCGAACTCAAAAACTTATCCGAACTCCACTCCGCGTTTGCGTGCGGAAAAGTAACACTTTGCGCACTAGTTAAGAAAATAACTATTTTGTATGGCAAATTCTCATTTGTCTTGACACTTCTCAGTTCTCAGTGACAATTGGTGACGTTGGTAATCAAATGAGTTACAGGATGTTTTCATTATTTGATCTCGAATTATTCTTGCTCATTTCCAGGTTTCAGTAGTGAATACCATTCTCTTTCTATATAAAATGAACAGGAAACAATGCTATTGTCTCCGTTCAGAAGAATGCGAGGCTATTCCTTGATTTTTCTCTTCTGGTTGTTATCTTCTTTTCCAATGATTTGAATATTATTCCACCCTGCTATATTGTCTCCAACTTCAGTGAGGATATGTTCAGCTAGTTTCGATTTATCGATGTGTATTTTCTTCATATTATATTAATGTGCCTCTGTCCTTACTGGAAGAGGTCTCTTGGTTTTACCTGTATAAACCTTCCCACAAACAGAAGGTATAGTGTGAATACAATTTTTTGTTGATTACCAACGTCACCAATTGTCACTGAGAACTGAGAAATGTCGAGACAAATACAAATTCGTCATAACAAGAATCCATTCTTCATATTGTGAACGGTAGCAGATTTGTTTCCGAAACGTCAAAAGATATGTGAAAATTTGATATTGTTTCTATATACCTCTATTTATCTTCTAAAAACATTTTTCAATACAAATTGTCACTGACACGCTAGTGCATTTTTGAGTTTTAGGCTTTCTGGTAGAGAAATTCTTTGGACGCAGTGACATTTTGGGGCGAATCTTCTGATTTGTCCTCACTACACGTAAATTGAAAGAGTAATCATATTATCATTTTATAGGGACGAGAAGAGAAAATCTCTAAAAGAAGAATCTGGAATAATGAATGTACCACCTACAGACTACAAACAGTATGTTTTGGAGAGCTTCAGGCAACTCATGAAACGTGCGTGCATTCAGATAAAACACAGTGAATACAAATTTGTTGAGACATATCAGACCCCACCTGGGTGACGCCAAATCAACGCGAAACTTATGCTCCGCAAGTTTCACTGAGGACGGATATTTATTGTGTATTCCAATAATCCTCTCGTGAAACTCGGAATTCAAATTGTTCCACTTCTATCGTTCATGTAACGTATACAATTAGCGGCATAGGCAGAAATGTCAATAACAATGTTCTCTGGATAAAAACTATCGAACTCACTTGTATTTGATGAAATTCCACCACAGCGAGAGCATCTGTTCCCGAATAGATTTGTCAACTTCAATTCCGTCGGATTGGTCCCAAAGGTAATCTAATTCGGCAGCATGTGCAATACCTACCAAAATAATTCATAAAAATACAATCAATAATAAAAAAGTATATGATTTTTTATTTGATACTTATACGTTCATCACGTATCACTTTCATTGAACATATTCAATATTCTCATTAGATTTAAATTCTCAGTTCATGAAAATCATGATAGTTCTTCGTCAAATCAAATCTCTGTATGATCACGAATCATTGAATATGTATTTCAGTGATTTTCAAATGTCATCAAATTATCACGATTCTCATTGAAGATTTTCAGTCTGCACTAGTTTCTTCAGGAACGATATCCTCTCAAACAGTTCGAAATTGAATCTTTAGGATATCTACCGGTACCTTATAGTTCTTTGAACATTATATTATGACGAACAGACAATTCAGAGAAATCGAGATTGTTCTACATGGAAATGTATCAACAGAGTAGTAGGCCCGGCAAAACTTTTGCAAGCGTTATAAACAAGAATGTGATTTTTTGTTCTTCTTTTTGAATTGACTCGGCCGTTACTTGATGAAAATCCATGGCAAATGTTAAACCTTCACGAACGATAAGATTTCCACAAAATTCTTGAACACACAACATGTTTCGCTAACACAGTAGCTTCGTCAGGTGATAAACTAGTACAATGAACTAGTTTTGTGGAAATCTTATCGTTTGTGAAGTTCATACACAAGAATGTGATCTTTCCGAATTCTCAGATGAAACTCAAAAGCTCACTACACTGTCCACCACTATTCGCACGTATGCCTTGACACGTAATGAGCTGACTACGTTAGCATATCCAGAAGGAGATGAGAACTGAATATGTTGCTTTCATTCTACATGAGAGACACTGACTGCGCAGTCACGGTCTGTTATATTTTTCAATTCTTGTAACGCACAGAAGAAAATTATGATGCGGTTCACATATTAATCCTATTTCTTAATCACTTGATTATGCAAAACGTTGGTCTTTCATCCTTTTCAGTGAGTCTATTACTGTTTTCAACTATGTCCAGGATCAAAAATAGAAGTTTTTCTCAAATACATTATGAACATGAATACAAAAATATTGTGAACATTTCATAAAATGAATATGCAATTCTTGATATCTATCTGATACAAATACGAATTCTTCTTTGATCAATCCAACAGAAGACAGTTCTAGGTTATTTTCCTGACTATATGCCATAAAAAACATCAAATTATAACAATTGACGACACAATGAAAATTTGAAAATGAGAATCTTTTGAAATTGCGAATTTCATTTCACATCCAAATAAAAATATGAATATAGCGGGTGTTTTAGACTTCATTTTGAATATTCCCAGGTCTCATTTTTCTGGTCCAAATTATAATGAATTTTTCAAAGAATATGTTGTGTCCACAAACGTTTCGTTACCGATCCACAGAGTTTGAATTTTTCATTTCACAGTACTATCAATTATAAGTCAAGGTTTTGTTTCCTTGGTTTTTTTCGAGTTATGTTAGGGAACTTCTTATTGAGATCAAAAACCAATTATGGCGTGTGTTTTGTCCACATGGTGATAATCAGAAATTTTCATATAATGAAGCAAATTGAAGAAATGTGTTTCTTCTTGATATCGATTGCAGGTGCTCAAAAATAACATGAAATGAAAAGGTTAATTAACAATAAAAGAACACATTTTTTTCATTTCAGAATTCATCAGTGGCGCACCTCCTGGAAGTTTACACAGCGAATGATTCCCTAAAAAATATATTTCTGTCAATTCTCACAATAACTTGGAATGTTGTATGATGCAGACCCTGGAACGAAACCAATGTTTCAACAAAAATATAGAAATTTAACAAAACGTTTGCAGACACATCATGTTTATAGGAGAAAAAGTCATATTTTCATAGGAAAGAACGAAAGCTCGAAGTCATCTCTACACTTCTCCTTGATGTAATTATTCGAAGCGATATTTCTTGGACATATGAAAGTTCATCTCTAACCCAATTCAGAAGTCCCACGAGTATATTCAAGGAGGAAAAACATGTCAGAAAAAAACAAAATTTGTCTCACATGGAGGTGAAACTTATCCAAAAGTTTTTGCCAATGCCTATCATCATAATATCCTTGTTGGAATCTGAGAATAAATGAGTTCTAATGATCATAACAGTACCAATTTCGATCAGAAGTCAAGTCTCAGGAGGAAGGCTCAACGAGCCATTGCGAAACACAACTCACAGGGAACCTTTGTTTCAAAATAAAGCGCCATCACTATTGAATCAAATAACAATGACATCAAGGATTCGACGAACAGATATGTACAAAATAATTGCTGATAACCAACTAATTGTTTCAAGAGCTCAAAAAGGCCATTGCTCAGTTATCTTGAACAAAGATTATGACGTGAACCAGTTCAACCAGTTTTTAGATCCTGAGAGTTTCACTAAATCACGCTCAAATCCTTTTCAGAAGTTATTCATAATATGAAGATCTTGTTCAATTCTTGTATTGACAACATTACTTCTTATCATTCTCATGAATTCACTCTAAAATCTCCCATTTTCTTGACTCGATGATCTTCCTAGAAACATAGAGAAAAATTCGATCCGACCTGTTACCTCTTTTTTATAACTCTCTAACTTCTCATCTCGATTCTAGGCTCAATCCCTTGATTAGAGGTCTCACTGATCTCAGTGTATTTTGATGTCGCTAATCTGTTCCCTTCTGTTCCTCCAGAAAACAGCATTGCACTCGTTCGCCAATTACTATTGTTTGATGCTATTATCCTTAGAAGAGAACCGCCTAACTAGGCATACGTCCAAATTAGGCATAGTCGCCATATTTTCCATTTCATCGAATATCTTGAAGAGCTGTACTGTTCCACGTCGGCATATCGAATGTTTTAGTTGTTCTCTGAATGATGAAGGGTGTATGTGGCCTCTATGAGAAATGTTTGCATTATTGTATTGATATATCAAGTCCTGATCGTTTTTTTTTATACATACTCGTTCATGAAGATTTGATAACCATTACATTGCATCCCATATTGCACATTGTATAAAAGATAAGCATAGAAAAAAATAATTCTGAAATTATGCAGTTTCCGCATGTTGACATACCTAACCCAGGTAACAAGCTGACGTCATTTGTACGTCAATATATGGTCATTTATGGTCATTGACGTCATATGACCTCAAAATGACGTCATTTTGACGTACTTAATATGACGTTTTATAGACGTCCTTGATATGTCGTCAATATGACGTCATCTGATGGTCATTTTCATGACTGATTATGACCATTATTTATTGAGTCATCTACATCAAGGAGAATTCATAATCAAGAAGTTTCCCATCTCTGTTGTATGAAAACGTTAGTAGTTATGTTATATAACATATATTATTATGTCACTCAATATATATTATGCTTTATAATATTTTTTCCTCTAATCTGTGCGAGATGTGTGTTTTAGATGGTCTCTGAGATAATTGTTAATTATATACCTTCTGTGCAAAGTATTCTCCCTATAGCTATTAAAAATATAAGACCGAATGTCATGTCATAAAAAGCTTTTAACGTTGTTATTCCGGAATGCGAATTAAAATCAGAGCGGGAGAGTGCGTAGAGAACTGTATTTGATTGGTCGGCACGGACCTTGCGCAGACATGCGAACGTCGACCGCCAGCGCCAAGCAACAGCCGTCTTCAGAAGACGGATGTGGCCAAGCCGTTCACTTTCGCTTCGCCGTTGCGGCCATGATGACCATAACAACAAAATAACAATACATAGAAGGCCATCATTATCATGTTATTCGGCTATCTAAGTGGTGTAGTGTGGTGGTCATACTTATTCATATTCATATATCAAGTAGTAGAATTTGAGGATGGCAGCATCATGGTCATTATTTTAGACAAGTGGTGTATGCCGAAAAAGCAGAATGTGAATTGGACGCCATTGAAGGAATACCATAGGATTCTGAGAAATCTCTTGAGTGCATCATCCGAATGGGATAAGTTCCCAATAAAAATAACATTTTATGAAACGGGTATTTATAGTACCTAACTGAGTTTGGATCAGGAGCTGGTATTTATGGGGCCAAGCCAAAGACAAGAATCTCACTGAGCTTAGGTAAATACGCGACGGTGTTTCAGGCAGAAATTATTGCAATACATCATTGCGTGAAAGAATTGATAAGGCAAGAGTTTAAAGGCAAAACCATTGCAATCTATTCAGATAGCCAGGCGGCAATCAAAGCAGTCAACTCTATGCAAGTTAACTCAAAACTAGTATGGGACTGCTTAGAAAACCTAAATGCACTGGGCAGTCAGAACAGACTGACTCTAGCATGGGTACCAGCACATACAGGGTACGAGGGCAATGAAGAGGCAGACTCACTTGCCCGAGCAGGAGCAAACAAAGCTCTGAATGGCCCAGAACCCTTCTGTGGTATTGCGAAAGCTATACAAAAGACTAGTATCAAATCATGGATGCAAACCAAATCTCAAGAATGGTGGAACAAATCGCCAGGAATGAGACAGGCAAAAGAGTTTATTAAAAAACCATCGCCAACATTCACAGAATATCTACTAAGCCAGAAACGAAGTTCAACTAGAATACTAGTGGGACTTCTCACAGGGCATTGTAGGCTCAACAAACACATGAGTACGATAGGTCTGACTGAAGAACTGCTGTGCAGGTTCTGTCAGGAAGAGGAGGAAACAGCAGTACACATACTTTGCCACTGTGAGGGCTTGTCAAGACTAAGGTTCCTTACGCTGGGTGAGGAAAAACCAGAAGCCCAGAGATACACAGGGGATCTGAAAGCTAGCCTATGGAGTCTCATAGAGAAGACGGGGCTAGCCGAAGAACTCTAATAGATTTTGAGGGCAGACACAATAGATCTGAAAAGGTCGCGGTGTGGAGGCAGATAGCCCGAAGGCCCCATTCTAAATCTAAATCTAATAGTACCTACCTAAAATATTATTTTGCATTTAATGTGGTAAAGGAACATCACTATAATTATACAAAAAAAATCTCATCTTTTCTGATAATATTGATACAACCCTAATGTAACAGTGTTTTTATTACCTACAGAAAATTTCGAAATAGCACAAAATAAACTGAAACATGCAGAAGATTTCAGTGATATGAATAATCGTAAAGATCACGTCATTTTGACGCCATCAGGATGTCGTCATTTTGACGCCATTAGGATGACGTCATTTTGACGACATGAAAATGACGTCATTCGTCTTCGACTGAGAAGGTCATATAAACGTCATTATGACGTCATTTTGGAAGTCATCCTGACGTCAGGCCTGACGTGATAATGACGTACAAATGACGTCAGCTTGTTACCTGGGAACATTGGCCATTGATGACATAGTATACCATCATACGACTGAGTGATAACATACTATGCTATCATAGGACTAGATGGTCCTGTGTTGTTTAACTATCTGTTTTTCCAGAAATTGATGGCGGAAAATCAGAACAGACATCAATGGAGTGAAGTGGACATGAACAAGGCGAGGAAATTGAGTATTCCATCATAGGAAATCCAAGTATGCCATCAAGGTTTATCATTATATCAAGTGCCTATGATGGCTCAGAATATGTTTCCGTTCCTAATAAAAAACCTTCTAGGAACTCACTCCTACGCAATTCTGTTCAATTATATAGTGATGAAAAACTAGAGACTGATAGAAATAATCCACTCGAATATCCATTCGTCACTTTGATAGCGAGATTATTCTTAAGGGGTGCCATCATATGTAGTTCTTCCCTACTCATCATTGTTTGAATATTTGTACATTGCTGGATATTGTTTCACAATTCAATAACTTCTACTTCCCAAAAGTATCTGGCTTAACCATAGTTACTTGTCTCTTCTTCTGGCAGGTATTTTCCTATACAACTTGGGAAGTCAACTGAACGATTTGATCATATATTCACCAAGAAATTTTTAATTTATATAGATGTGTTGATAACGTTATAGTTTTATTTGATTGCAGTTCACGAGGAGACAGCCTCTACCTAGATTTCCTGAATACTTTGCACCCTACGAATAGGTTCACTATGGAAGTCGCAATTCATAAGTCACTTCCTGTTTCAGATTTACTGATGAACATCGATCCAAATTCGATTCACCGCAAACCAAACTCACACAGATAGACTCCAAATTATTCCTATGAATCCAGATGATTTTGATAACGAATTCAACATTATCAAACATATTGATCACAATTATGTTTTTCCTCCTCATATCATCGATAGAATCCATAACAAATATCTCAACAGATCTACTTATAAAAGTTCAATGCCCTTGGACAATTCTTTAAAGAATTTTGCCTCGATTCCTTGCTTGGGTCTCTTAACATCGACCACATTTTTCATGAATTTTTTACCGTAATCATCATATCATGGCATTCAAGACCTCGACTCATGGCATGTTGTTTAGGACTCTGGCTTATGTCATTATCTTCCAAATATTTTTTTCGGTGTTTTCCATCCGCAAGGGTTGTATTTAACATGTGTTTGGTTTGCCGCCCTATCGATTTCATTAATATCTGATTCAATATTGGCGCTTTCTCTCGGAACAATGATTTCTTGTGAGTTTTTGCTTCGCAATAGCTTGTCAAGCTTCCCTACTGAGACTTGACTTTTGATAATAATAGGTGAGCGTTCTCTCAGGACACGGAAAACCCGTTTATCCTCAGATTTCAACAAGGAAATTATGATGATGGTCGTTGGTACCAAAATTGAAGAGGGTTCTACCTCCATTTGAGTCGAATTTGAGTTTCTCCTTGCATGTACTTACACCTTGTCTCTGCTTGTGGTAACATATTGACGGCTGGAGGTGGACTTCCATAGTTTCGAAACATGTTCCCTTGAATGATAACATCATCAAAGAAGTGTGGAGATGACTTTCACCTTCATTCCGTCCCTATGAGAAATTCCACTCTCTTGTGAACAAACATGGACTTCTACAAGAAGTATTAGTGTGATCTGAAAAATGAGCCCCTGGAATCATGATACTGAATATTCATACGTATAACCTCATACGGAATATTGACCAGAACACGACTATAGGTAGCTTTCTTCCTGGCTATCCCTTCCTGAATACATCGAATTAAGAACTATTTTTGCCATTTTTGGATACGATATTATTTTTAAACTGTAATTGGAATGAATTTGATTATAATACTACTAGTGCAAACTCAAAACTTCCTGAAAAAAATGTGATATTTCAAAAACCGTTGCAAATTTTGTTACGACAAGTTGATAAGTGCTTCATTTCATATTCGAAAAATATCATCTCTTTTTTCTATACACTCAGAGAAATAGTCGATAGTGAATTCAAAACTTTCAGTAGAACATGTGCCAGTCACTACATTCATCAAATGGTACCACAACAAAATTTTATCATACTATACTATAAGTATCATACTATTAAGTAGTGCTATTATTTGATATGAATTCAACAATTTGATAGTGGTATCATTAGATGAATCTAGTGACTGTCTCCTATCTCAGTTAACGTATCGTATGTTTAACTTTCTCGTCTTATCCAGTGTACATGAATCGATAGAATAATTCATCAACCTACGCATTTATGATATATCATTTATATTTGTTATATTCGATCATTTAACCAAAAATCATTATGAATTTCGAATCATGTTATCCTTTCAGGAACGTTGCTTGTTTTCAATAGTTGATGTTGAATATATCACCTGGAAATTTTGGAGATTTGTTGGGCCCAGCTGAAAACTGATACAAATAGACTGGTGCATGTCGGGATGAGAGCTCTGCCTGACGAATGGAAGATCGAATGAAAACTACATCACTTGTGAACTGAAATAGAATTGACTCATTATCGATCGAATTGGAGAGGTTCTAATGGGAATAAATCGTGAAAAAATATAATTTCGTCAATTGGCGAATGCAGTCACGCAAGTCTGGTGAACCGTTTGCGGTTATTTCGTTTCTGCGCAATGTATATATTGGGCAAAGAAACCTATATACGAACGAGAGATGAATAATTCCATACGTTTTCGTCGGTAATTGAATTTTATCAGACCTCTCCACAAACATTTCATTACAACTGAATCACACTTACGCGAATCTGAAATTTGTATCGAGTATTCATTGAAATATTTCAATAATACCTGTAAATTTCCAGACAGATTTTGCGATTTTGAATAATTCACAGACGTGAATGAAGTTTTCAAATTAGTACGACAAGAAAGTCTCAGGCTCAGTCATAGGTGCGACAAAAATAGTAACTCAACAGAATATTTTGTGTGAGAACAATCGTAGCAGGAAAAAAAATCTAGTGTTTCCATATCTTCTTCGGATATTTGGGATTCAATTATTTTGTATTATTTGCATATATGACTATGTATATCCATCACAGGAAGGAAGGAATGCTCGAAGTCATCTCCACAAATTTTAATGATATTTTTAACTAATTCATGAGGGACATGTTTCGGTCTTATAAAAGACCATCTTCAGCCTAATTGAAAAGTCTACAATATGATACCAAAAGTTCATTTGCAAACCACATCCTAAATTCACACCATAGTTTTAATAATAATAATAATAATAATAATAGTTTATTGCTTCTTAAACAAGTTTACAGCAACGAGTGTATGACAGAAAAAAAAAAAAGGATAATATGTATGTTTGTACTCTGGAAATGAATAAAAAAAAAAAAACCGATTGAACATTAAAACCTACCAAGTTCAAGTATAAAATAAATATCAATAGTTATAGAAGAAGAAAATAATACAATTATAGTTTATTCATTCAGAATAAATGATCTTAGCTTAAGGATATTCCAAATATATTCAGAAATTATTCTAGCATCACTGATTGTTATTTTTTGTAAGGCAATGATTAATGTTTCCAAATTCCTTAGACATGGAGCTCCTTGTTTCATGACAGTGTAGATCGGACAGTCAAAAATAATATGGAGGAGAGTTTCATTTTCGTTCCTGTTGCAAACTGGACAAATTTGATCAGGGTCAATGGAGTAGGCAATTCCGTTCAGGGTGAATTTAATTTTAAAGTGATTGGCCATACGTAGTTGGGCAAGAGTGCGGGTGATTTGGATGGGTAATTTCAATAGTAAGTAAGTGCTAGGTACCCTGGAAGTTCCAAGCAGATTGTAAATATACAAAAAAGGGTAACGGGAAGATATTGAACGATCTGAGTCATGTAAGAATGTATAATATTTAGCATATAAAGTATTTCTATGTTTGAATAAATTATTATAATTCAGATCATTCCATAAAAGCAAGGAGTCAGAATCAACAAAAAAATTTTTCATTTGCAAAAGCCAATTATATTTAGGGTCCGCGTAATTTATAATACGCCTTTGCTGTTCAAAACAAAGCCTTGGGTATCGATGTTTTTCCATGGACAGTATTTTGCAAATCCAGTTCACGGATATTTTAAGCACATTATAAGCAAGTTTCACCCTCCCAGTTTCTAAGCGAACAATGGCATCGGGTGTATTGGTGGAAACTAAAAGAATTCTTTTAAGAAAGGATATTTGAACTCTTTCAAGCACTTCAAGATATCTGAGACCCCAAACTGGCACGCAGTTATACATAACACTTAAAGTTAATGATTCGAATAACTTTAACCTTGGTGGCCAGGTATCAATTTTAGCCTTAGACAAAATAGGCAAAATAGAACCAATAGCTTGTTTGCCTTTGGTGTTGGTCAAAGTGGACATTTCATGAAAGAGACCAGATGATGTAAAAGTTACTCCTAAATAATTATATTTATTGGTGACTTCTACTACATGGCTGACAAAGTGAAATGTGAAGTTTGGTTTTTGAAACCCACCTTTAGAAAATTGCATTATTTTAGTTTTCTTAAGGTTGACAGTTAAGTCGTTTTCTGTAGTGTATTTTTCCAGAATTTTGAGTTTCCTAACAACATCGATTTCAGAATGAGCCAAGATAACGAGATCATCAGCATACATTAATGTTAAAACGTCATTCTTATCATCTATGTTGACACCTTGCGCTCCATTTTCATAAAAAAAGGTTTCAATATCCGCTATAAAAAGTGCGAATAACAGGGGACTTAATGGTTCACCTTGTAACACACCTGTTGTAACTTCATATTGTTTCGTGTATCCGTTAGAGCCTCTAATCTGAACAGTTGCCTGTGAATATAAGTTCTTCAATAAACGAATGATATTTGATGATAATCCTAAATTAAATAGTTTTATCCAGAGTAAACTGTGGTTTATAGAATCGAAAGCTCTCTTGAAGTCAACGAATATAGCAAATATCTTTCGCTTCCTATGTCGAATATGAAGGTGGATGATAGAAGTCAAGGTGTAGACATTGTCAATACATCCTCTGGTCGAGCGAAAACCTGACTGAGATTCCGGCAATATATTGCAGTCATCTACCCAGCAAGTTAATCTTGTGAGAATTGCGCTTGTGAATAGCTTGAGGGAACAGTTTAACAACGCCAATCCTCTGAAGTTATCCGGGGAATTCGCCGGGCCACCCTTATGTAACATAGAGAGTGTTATGGTGGACCATGCATTCGGGATTATTGTAGATTCAAAAATGGTATTAAATAAAGAAGTTAAATACAGTACCCAGTTATGTGGTAGATTTTTCAAGAACTCATAAGATATACCATCTGATCCAGGAGACTTCCTATCTTTACTTTTATTAAGGACGGAATAGATCTCAGCAGTAGTGAAAGGAGCGTCAAGGAAAGGATGACTAACATCTACAAAGTTCACCATGGAAATTATTCTTGGTGGATATATGTTCTCGTAAAAGTTCTCCCAGTCGTGGACGGATAAGTTTTTATGGTTGAAATTATTGCGGAAGTGTTTAACAGTAAGCCAAAATTCTTTGGAATTAGTTGAATTCGACAACTTGGTAATAATTTCCGATTCGTAGTGTGTTTTCTTCATTTTAATAATTTTTTTATATTCAGACTTCGATGTTACATATTCAGTTTTCAAGTCAAAAGGAAAATTTTCGAGTTTGCAGGCTTTCAGCAGTTTCTGCATATTTTTTTTAGCAGCAGCACAGTCAGTATCAAACCATGGTTTGTTATTTCGTCGTGGACGATGAAGATTGTTTCCTTTTACACTAACAAGACCCAAACCAGAAGCTGTTTCATGAATGGCAGCGCAAAGATTATCAAATGAATCATTTGGATCAGGAATAAAATACGCTCTATTCGAATTCCTCATATTTAGTTTGTAAGAAAGAGACAAGTCATCTTTCCAAACAAACGAGTGACGTGGTGGATTATCAAAATTATTGTGTGAATTGGTCCTATGTGTGATGACTGAATTACTATAAATGAGGGATAGATTTATCGGAAAATGATCAGACATAAAGTCCGTATCGCTAACAAAAAAGTTTGATACATCCGAAAGAAACGAGTTATTCACCCAAACCAAATCCACAACACTCTTTCCCAATTTACTCACGTATGTATATTTGCCTGGTCTATCCAGTGCAGTACGTCCATTTATTGCAGAAAATGAATTATTGACCATGAAATCAATTATTTGTCGTCCTCTCGTGTTCAGTGTTTTATCGAGACTTAAGCGATCTAAGAATAAATTCGAGTCTTCAATCACTTCAGATGGAACAGTATCAATATCTGCGATTCTACAGTTGAAATCTCCAGCAATAATAATCATAGTATCAATATATTTTTCAAGGAGGTCAGACAAGAGAATCTGGAAATCATCAAGTGTATGTGTCAGTTCTAAGGAAGGTTTGAAATATATATTACAAACAATAAAATTGAATTCAGTAGTAGAAAATAAACAAGCCAGACAATAAGAAGATTTGAATAATGTAGTTACAGAAAAATAATCCCTATAGTAAATGCATAAGCCTCCACTTGGTCTTCCTAGCGATTTTTCCTTTGTTGCGTTAGATGTAATGCATTTAATGTCGGGTGAAAATTCAGGAAGAATTGGGACATCAGTAGTAAGCCAAGTTTCAGTAAGGCAAAGCAAATCGAAATAAATGTTTTCTTCAAGGAAATTAACAGTATTTGCATGACCATGACAATTCCAGAAGGTCAGTAAGAGTTTTTTGAAGATTCTGGGCGTGGTTTGACTATTTTTGTCACATTCTTGTTTGGAGATTCATCTTCTTCGCGGGGTCTTTTATAAGAACCAGGAACGATTGTTGGTTGGCCAAAAATGAATTTGATCCTCAGACTCTCACCATTAGCTTTCCTCTGATCAAACTCTTGGTAAATCTTTGCAAGCTCCTCTCTTTGTTTTGGAGTATAATCATTTTTTATTTTCACATTCGGAAAGGACTTCAATGAGAGTTTGGATTTTTTTGATAAAATTCCAATAGCTTCTTCGCGACATGAAAATTCGACTTTCAAAGGGCGTTTCTGACTAGATGGTTTACCCAGTCTGGTAACTTTGGAGGGTTTAGGTGTGTTTGAAGGGTTGAGCTCGGTTAAGATCACAGATACATTAATCAAATCATCAGACGATTCATCCAGTCCGTAGATGATGATATTTTTTTCACGAAGATTCCTTGCAGCGAATTCTGCATAAATATTAGAGGCAGACATACCATCCAGTTTTTTTTCAAGATCCTTCACTTTGGATTGCAGTTTATCATTCTCTTGCTTCAAATTGGTAACATTGGCTATGCATCCATCAATCTTTTTTGTCTGTTCAGTAAGTAAAGCACGCACATCATTCATACCATTGGTTAGAATTGACAGTTGAGACATTAATAGTTGAAAGTGTGGTTCTTGAAATGATACGCCACTGGAATTTGGTTCTG